CTGGTCATGCTTGATTTCCCCGGGGCGGGGGGGGGGGGGGAGAAAAAATGAATTTTTATTTCAGAAACCATTTTGGTGCATACACTCTTTCAAAACCTACAGTATAGTCTGAAATGAAGATAGAACTGATCCCCAGAAGGGACTTTTGGTGGCAAAAGGACTAGGAACTTTTTTTCAGTTGGATGTGGAAGGTGGTAGCCCGGGAGGGAGGGTGGGTTCAAAGAGGACCTTCTAAAAATACTGCCCATTTACCAAAAACACACAGACTGCTCTGCTGCGCCCCAGAAGCTCCTCAAAAGGAGAAATCATCTTGCCACCCACATCCTCTCTCGCTGGGTGAGGGCACCTCCCCAGGGGCACTGGGGGCCAAGAGTGACTAGCAGAAGCTAAGACTTGGGAGCTGGGCAGTTGGTTCAGAACCCAGCTCCCCACTCTCTGAACCTGATTCTTCCTCGGAGGAAAGGGAATACAAATAGCTAATGTGTGAGTTAGACTAAATGGGGTCATGTTTATACATCATGTCATTTGGTGCCTGGCACTCAGAAGGCACCTGTGAATTCTAGTTATACATCATTCCTGTTGATGGAGGGAGCCCACCACGTGCTGGAACCCAGGTTTAGGTGAGTGAGACGGACAGGGGCCGGCCCTCCCAGGGCTCCGCCTCTATGGTCTGCCCTGTGCTGGGCAGCTGAAGGGGCCTCTCTCCTCTGCAGTGTGGTGACCAGGGCCATCTCTGCCATCAGCCCCTCCCTGGAATTGCAGGTGGGAGAAAGGGTCCAGTTGAGGGGCCTTTGAATAATATCCTAAGCCTCTAGAGCAGTGATTCTCAACCTTCCTAATGCCGCGACCCTTTAATACAGTCCCTCATGTTGTGGTGACCCCCAACCATAAAATTATTTTCGTTGCTACTTCATAACTGTAATTTTGCTACTGTTATGAATGGTAATGTAAATATCTGATATACAGGATGTGTTTTCATTGTTACAAATTGAACATAATTAACGCATAGTGATTAATCACAAAAACAATATGTAATTATATATGTATTTTCCGATGGTCTTAGGCGACCCCTGTGAAAGGGTCATTCGACCCCCAAAGGGGTCGCGACCCACAGGTTGAGAACTGCTGATCTAGAGACACAGGAAACATGGTCGTGGGACCACTTGAGGGGAGAAGAGCTAGACCGAGAGACAAGTAGATCTTGGCATGAACGGGAGGCACTGTGGCCTTGCTGGAGATCTAGACTAGGAGCCTAGACTCTTGGGTCTGAGTCCCAGCTCAGACTTAATGGGCTTCCTCTGACTGTGGGCCTCCTGAGGGCTTGGTGCACCACACAGAGCCCCCCTTGGCCTTTTGAGGGTCCCTCAAGGTAGGCTTCATTATTCCTGCTCAGTGGGACTTGATGGGGGACCTCAAGATGCACCCCTGACTCTGGCTGGGGCACCTCAGGCTGCGCCCCCCGCCCCAGCGCCAGGCCGGGGGACCTCAAGCCATGCCCATGCCCAGCAGGGCTTGACAGGGGACTTGAAGGCCACCCCCCACCCTGGTGCCAGGCCGGGGGACCTGAAGCTGCACCCCCCACCCAGCGGGGCTTGACAGGGGTGGGGCCGGCCAGGTCTGGATCTCACCCAATGGGGGTGGGGGCGGCTGGGTCTGGGTCTCACGTGATTTTGAGGTGCACGCGGGTGTGTGAGGACTTGACTCTGGGTCCCGCGGCGCGCCCCAGACTCTGACAGGAGGAAGAATTTCATACACATTTTACTAATTTTCTTTTATCTCTGACACTTCTATTATAAAGGGCAAATAGCAATATTAAAATATTTCCTCTAATTCCCTTTTAATGTGCACGAATTTCATGCACCAGGCCACTAGTAATAATAATAATGGTCATTACCCATATTGTACTCATCATGTATATGTGGATGCTGTTCTAAGCTTCCATTCATTAAGTGCGGACTAAGCACCAGTCACCTCCCAAGGGCACTACATGAATTAATTTACCTAATCCCTAGGAGTAACCAGTTATTTTAATCTCCATTTTATAGGTGGGGAAACTGATGCTCTGAGAGGTTTAAAAAATGAACTTTCCAGGTTGGGGTGGGTTGGTCGGTAGCAGTGTTTTCAGAGTCAGGCAATTTGACTCCAAAACTTCCATGAATTGCCTTCTTTCTCTTTGTCAGTGTAGTTTCTTGCGTTTGACCACATTTAGTGATATTGCCCAAAGTTTGAAGCTGAGCCTGTCTATTGGTGAGGGTTTGTGGAGACCCGCTCCCAAAGGTCCCGCAGGGTAATGGCGAAGAGGGTTGTTAGCACTCAGTTGTGGGTTGTTAGCACTAAGCCTAACTGCCTGGAAAAAGAGGCAGATTGCTACAAAGTAGACTCCCAACAAGTAGCATGGACTGAAAGTGGGAGGCAGGCAACAGGCAAGATTTGGGGCAGGGACATCTTTCCACCCCATCCTTGAGAAAATGGTAGATTTCTTGGGGCTCTCAGGCCACGTGTTGGGAGAGATGCAGCCCTTCCCCCTCCTCTGTCTCCCTGCCTCCCCGCCTTGGCCCAGGAAAAGGGCGGTAGCTTGGCCTTTCAGTTATGCTTCCTCCAGTCATGGCTGGCTGGGCCCTGATGCAAACCTGTTGTTTGGGTTCCTGTTACCACCGCCTAACGCATTATAAATAGGCAACTCCAGCCAGGGCCCTCTGTTGGATTGGAAAGTCCATTCTCTGTGACTTCTGGGTCTGTGCTGAGATCCCCCCACCCCCCTCCCATCAGTAGTGAGAGTTGTTGAGAGTGAAAGGAAAAGAGCACCTGGAAGGTAGTGAGTTGTGTGTATTTTCTCACAATCTTACCCTCCTACCGTCCTTCCCCATTTTAACTCTGCTTTCTTCTGGGCCAGATGGGGGTTCTCAGAAGGCTCTCTCACATCCCTGGTCTTCAAGGCCAGCTCTTCTCTCACCTCCTCCAAGAAGCTTCCTCTGATTCCTTCCAATATGTATCTGTGTCCCATGTGCGTTGAATGGTGGCACCCAAAAGGATATAAACACATCAAATCCCTAGAACCTGAGAATGTGACCTTATTTTGGATAAGGGCCTTTGCAGTAATTAGGTTAAGAATCTTGAAATGAGATCATCCTGGATTTTCCGGGTGGGCCCTACATCCAATGGCAAGTGTCCTTATGAGAAAAAGGCAGAAACTTTGAGACACAAAGAGGTGATGTGACCACAGAGGCAGAGATTAGAGTGGCATGGCCAACAAGGTCACATGCCAAGGAATGCCATCAGTTCCCAGAAGCTAGAAGAGACAAAGAAGGATTCTCCTCCAGAGCCTCCAGGGACCAGGGCCCTGTCAGCACCTTGATTTTGGAGTTCTGGCTTACAGAACTGTGAGAGAATAAGGCTGTATTGTTTTAAGGTGCTCGTTTTGTGGTGGTTTGTTGCAGCAGTAGACTACCTGAACTAGGGAGCAGGTGGGGGTATTGGAGCCACACAGGTGAGGCTTCAAATTGGCTTTAGCTGGCTGGAGCTAGCCTACCTTCCAGGGTTAGTGTTTTGTTTTGTTTTAAAAACTTGCCCTGCTGGTGTTTCTCAGTGGTTAGAATGCCAGCCCTCACACCAAAGGGTCGCAGGTTAGATTCCTGGTCATGGGCACATACCTGGATTGGAGGCTACCAATCAATGTCTCTCTCTCACATAGATGTTTCTTTCTCTTTCTCTCCCTTCCCCTGGCTATTAAAAAAAATAAAATCAGTGGAAAAAAATAAAAGCTTTATTGGGATATAATTCATACATCATACAATTCACCCATTTAAATCCAATGGTCTTTTTAGTATATTCACACAGTTGTGCAATCCTCTGCACAGTCAATTTTAGAACATTTTCATCATCCTCCCCAAAAGAAACCCTGTACCATTAACAGTTGCTCCCCATTTCCCCCCACAACTCGACCCCAATCCTAGCTACTAATCTACTATCTGCCTCTAAAGATTTGCCTATTCTGCATATTTCATATAAATGGAATCATACGATATGCGGGCCTTTCTGTCTGACTTCTTTCACTTAGCATGATTGTTTTCAGTTTTCATCCATGTTGTAGCATATGTCAATACTTATTTCTTTTTATGGCTGAATAACATTCCACTGTATGGATTTACCACATCCTCTTTACCCATTCATGCATTGATGGACATTTAAGTTGCTTCTATTATTTTGGCTGTTACGAATTACACATAAGTTTTTGTGTGGACATGTCCAAGGTTATCTTAAAGATTAAATGAAGTAGCATCTAAGGTACTTTCTATGGCCTTTAACAAAGGATAATGAAAGATCTTACAGAAAATCTGCCCCAACTGCTTCAATTTACAGATTAGGAAACTGAGGTACAGAGAGGAGCAGAGAATTGCTCAAGGTCACCCATAGCAGTAGAGCATTACAGCTAAATGTAGGTCCTTGAGTCAGTCTGCCCAGACCAAATCCTGGTTCCACTTGGATTTGGGTTACCTTATGTAAGTCACTTCATCTCTCAGAGACTTAGTTTACTAGAAGAGGCAAGGAAGGATTCTCCCCTAGAGCCATAGTACAAAATAAGGATAGTGATAATACCTGCCTCATATAGTTATTGATGTGAGGAGTAAGTGTACTAGCCTATGGGTCTGGCACATAGTAGGTGCTCTCTGTCCTAGCTGTCATCATTTATGGCAGTGCAGCATGTGGAACTCGGGTCTCCTGGCTTACCATGTGTAAGATGTCTTGACTCTACACTTCTCCAGTTTCCTCTCCTGTGTTATGAGCATCTTCCTAGTGTAATTGTAAGTTTTTTGAAGGAAGGAACTATGGCGTCCTCTTCCCATGTCCTGAGCATATAAGAGGAGCTGACTGAGCTCTTTTGCGCACTTTCGTTGGCTACCCTAACCCCGGCCTTTACCAAGTAACTCAGCTGGTAACTATGTTAATTCTCTGCATCTTTTCAACATCTGATAAGATGACCACTTGTGTCTCCCTTCCAGGCAGTGGACAGTGTACCACCATGGAGTTGGGGCCTCTAGAAGGTGGGTACCTGGAGCTGCTCAACAGCAATGCCGACCCTTTGCAGCTCTACCACCTCTATGACCAGATGGACCTGGCTGGAGAGGAAGAGATGGAGCTCTGCTCAGGTGCGCTCTCCTCCCTCCGTCCCTCCCAAGCCCCTCTCCACCCTCAACCTGCAGCGGAGACTGGCAGCAACCAGTGTAAGCGCGGGCCACGGAGCTCCGGTCAGCACCGCGGACAGCTCCTGTCCCTGGCAGGAGGCTGGCTCTCTCACTGGGAACGTCTCCCAGCCCAGCCCCGCTCCTGCTCCTCTCTTCCGCCTTCCCCACCAGCCCTCTTCCCAGATCTCTCCTGTCTCATTCAAGGGGCTTTTCCCCACAGAATCTGACACAGATACCATCAACTGCGAGCAGTTCAGCAGGCTGTTGTGCGACATAGAAAGTGATGAAGAGACCAAGGAAGCTTATGCCAATATCGGTGAGAAAATACTCCGAGCCCAGAAAAAGGACATTAAGGGGAAAGGTGTTTTTCCTCTTTTGTTAATCTCCCCCATTCACCATGAGCCACAGCCCCTCTCTCACAAATCAGGGCAAGGGGGTTGTGGGGCGAGGGCTAAAAGAACAGACTCCAGGGCGGACTCCAAGAAGATGGAGAAAAGTGAGGGAAAGGGACCCCTCCACTAATGACCCAGAGGCAAACAAAACCTCACTTTTACATCCTTTGCCTCCATTTCTCTCCCTTTTTCTGTTTCTTGTTCTTTCCTCCCTTTGAACAAAGCCCAAGCTATACATCCTTCCCTCCCATTCTCCCCAGCCCGTAAGCCAAACTACTCTAATCACCAGATGTGTTGCATCCTTTACAACAGTGGAAGTGGGCATTATTGGCATCTCCATTTTACAGATAATGAAATGAAATTCAGAGGTGAAGCAGTCTACCCAAACCTGCATTAGAGATAGCCATGGGCAGGTCTGAAATTCTAACCGACGCCTTTCTCATTTCAGGGTCTTACACTTAACCACAAAAAGGGAAGTATCTGGGGTGGGAAGGTTTGCTAAGGCCTAAGCTGAGAGGCTGGATTGCAGCTTTACAAAGAGCGAGGCTTTCAGAAGGGCGGAAGTCTTGGGGGAGAGGTGTTTGCATTGTAGTTGTTTGGGGCTGGGTGGGGTAAGGAGCCCTCCTCACCGGAGCCACCACTATCCCACACAGAGACATTGTTGAGGTGGAAAAAGGCAGCCCTTGTTCTGGAAGACACAGCCCCCACCGGAAAGTAACCACTTGGCTATTAAAGTGCAGGCTGAGCCCTGGCCATGTGCTCAGCTGGTTGTAGCTCAGCTGGTTGTAGGTCGTCTTGTACACCAAAAGGTGGCAGGTTCGATTCCTGGTCAGGGCACTTACCCAGGTTGCAGGTTGGATCCCTGGTTTGGGGTGTGCGAAGGAGACAATCAATAGTTCTCACATCGATGTTTCTCTCTCTCCTCTCCCTAAAATCAATTTTAAAATATTTAAAGTGCCGGCTGAATTTCCTGCCCCCCATTTGCCGCGGACTCCAAGAAGATGGAGAAAAGTGAGGGAAAGGGACCCCTCCACTAATGACCCAGAGGCAAACAAAACCTCACTTTTACATCCTTTGCCTCCATTTCTCTCCCTTTTTCTGTTTCTTGTTCTTTCCTCCCTTTGAACAAAGCCCAAGCTATACATCCTTCCCTCCCATTCTCCCCAGCCCGTAAGCCAAACTACTCTAATCACCAGATGTGTTGCATCCTTTACAACAGTGGAAGTGGGCATTATTGGCATCTCCATTTTACAGATAATGAAATGAAATTCAGAGGTGAAGCAGTCTACCCAAACCTGCATTAGAGATAGCCATGGGCAGGTCTGAAATTCTAACCGACGCCTTTCTCATTTCAGGGTCTTACACTTAACCACAAAAAGGGAAGTATCTGGGGTGGGAAGGTTTGCTAAGGCCTAAGCTGAGAGGCTGGATTGCAGCTTTACAAAGAGCGAGGCTTTCAGAAGGGCGGAAGTCTTGGGGGAGAGGTGTTTGCATTGTAGTTGTTTGGGGCTGGGTGGGGTAAGGAGCCCTCCTCACCGGAGCCACCACTATCCCACACAGAGACATTGTTGAGGTGGAAAAAGGCAGCCCTTGTTCTGGAAGACACAGCCCCCACCGGAAAGTAACCACTTGGCTATTAAAGTGCAGGCTGAGCCCTGGCCATGTGCTCAGCTGGTTGTAGCTCAGCTGGTTGTAGGTCGTCTTGTACACCAAAAGGTGGCAGGTTCGATTTCTGGTCAGGACACTTACCCAGGTTGCGGGTTGGATCCCTGGTTTGGGGTGTGCGAAGGAGGCAATCAATCAATAGTTCTCACATCGATGTTTCTCTCTCTCCTCTCCCTAAAATCAATTTTAAAATATTTAAAGTGCCGGCTGAATTTCCTGCCCCCCATTTGCCCTCTTGGCTGGGCACCTTGTACACTGAACAACCTGCACAGCTGTTCTTAGTTGCCCTTTTCCTGGCAGCCCCAGGAGCACGTCACTCAGGAGGCCTGTGGTCAGCACAAATGTGGCTGGTCTTTCCCAGGGCACAGTCCAGTGTCACGCCAGGGCAGAGGATGGAGAGGTGTCTCAAATTACAGAACCGAGAGCCTGCCTGCTTCCTTTCTTCCTGGGAATTTACTTGCAGGAAGCAGAAGTGTTTGGGGCGGAGGGCACTCACACTTCCTCACAGCGGGAGGCTGTAGTAAAGGAGCTGGGCATCACTAGGATTTGGGGGTTTCTCCCAGAAGGGGCATCTACACAGGAAGTGGAACTGCCTGAGCTCCTCAGGTCTGTGGGTTTGCTCCTGGGCACGCAATCATTTGAGACATCCTGAAATATTACATTGGTTTCCATATACGTAAGAAATGGGAATAATAATCACACTTTCCCCAGAAATAAGTCTATTTCTTTCACCAGGCAGGGGAAGTTTTCTGTCATTATTTCTTCAAATAGGTTTTCAATCCTGGGGAGGATTGAATACATGTATGTGTGTAAAGCAGTTAGAAAAGGAATTTGCAAAGAGTATACATTCAATAAGTGTTAGGTACCACCCCACCCCTATAGTCATCATCACCCTTATCATCATCATCATCATCATCATCATCATAATTTTTGCCCTTACTCCATTCCTCAGCTCAGAAGCCTTAATGACTCCCTATTATCTATAAAATTAAGTCCTAACTTTCTCCAACATGAAACTTCTCCTGCAGATACCTGTCTCTCAGAGTTTCCCATACGTACCCCAAATATCCAGAAAGCCCCCACTCTTGACCTCTCAGGCTCTGCCCCATCTTTCAAGGCCTGGCTCCAGGATCCCTTCCTCTGGGAAGCCCTCCCTGACTGCCCCATCCCACTCTCTCCCCTGACCTCCTGCCATGATCGCTGTCTTCCTATTGGTTCCAAACCACATTCTCCTTCATATAATTAGCCACTTCATTTATTGAGTGCCTACTGTGTACTGACTACTGTGTTGAATGCTTTAAATGCAGAGCCTCTAATTCTCACCATCGGTCCCTGGATTGTAGGCATTACTTATTCTCATGACACAGATGATGAAATGGGGGCCCAGAGAGGTTAAGTAACTGGCCCAAGGTGGCATAGTGGGGGAGAGCACTGAATTGAAACTCAAGCCCCCCTGACAACTCATCCACACTGCACTGCACTCCTTTAGAGCAATAGATAAGTTTCTGTGGATACATACCCCTGCCCTTCAGTTAGATTAAGGGCCCATGAAGGCTCAGTGTTCCTTCATTAATTTGATTATTCATTCAGCAAACATGACTGAGAACTCACTGACTGCACTTTTCCTTGTCTGGGCAGCGGAACTGGACCAGTATGTGTTCCAGGACTCCCAGTTCGAGGGCCTGAGCAAAGACATTTTCAGTAAGTTGGGGGCTCTTGGCTCAGTCCACATTTCCTTCCTTGTTCCTTGGGGAGCACTGTAATGCCAGAAGGCCATTCTTTAGTGGGTGGTCAGATCCCTTCCCAACAGAGGGACAGCACGGGTTCAGCTGGGGTGTCCACTGACTGTGCATGTTGGTGTCTGGTTTTCTTCCATAGTCGAGCACATAGGATTAGAAGAAATGATCAGCGAGAGTGTGGAGATGCTGGAGGAAGCAGCACAAAAGAGTCAGAAAAGACGTGAGTGAGCCCCTCCCTGGTCCTACCCAGTCTTGCTTGCCTCCTGGCCCTGCCTTCGCTTCACAGCCTGTTGAGGCTCTCAGCCCCTTCCCTCATTAAGTCCTGTCTAATCCACCTGGGTATGGGTGTCCCACCTGCCTCTCCCCTCACCACTGCCCCCTGGTGACCCAGGGAGGAAGCAGACGGCCCAGGCACAAACGGCTACTCTGCTGGTGGGTCTCTGTCACTGGCTGTGTTGACTATCATGTCCAAAGGACCTTTAGGCTCTGGCTTCCCTTTCGTCCTTAGTTGACACCCCTGTATTTGGGGGAGGTCTCTTCAAGTGCAGGTTTTGGAATCAGCAAGAACTGGGTTTTAATCCTGGATCTGCTACTTATGCTCCCTGTGCCCGTGGCAAGTACCTGCACCTTTTTGAGCTTCCTATTCAGTCTCCCTGCCTCCTCAATCTGGCAGCCAACATGAGCTTTTTATTTTTTTTTAATTTTTTTAATTAAACCTTTATTGTTCAGATTATTACATTTGTTCCTCTTTTTTCCCCCATAACTCCCCTCCTCCCAGTTCCCACCCAACCCTCCGTCCTCACTCCCCACCCACTGTCCTCATCCATAGGTGCACGATTTTTGTCCAGTCTCTTCCCGCATCTCCCACAGCCCTTTCCCCCCCAAGCATAGTCAGTCCATTCCCTTTCTATGTCCCTGATTCTATTATAATCACCAGTTCATTCTGTTCATCAGATTATTTATTCACTTGATTCTTAGATTCACTTGTTGATAGATGCGTATTTGTTGTTCATAATTTGTATCTTTACCTTTTTCTTCTTCTTCCTCTTCTTAAAGGATACCTTTCAGCATTTCATATAATACTGGTTTGGTGGTGATGAACTCCTTTAGCTTTTCCTTATCTGTGAAGCTCTTTATCTGACCTTCAATTCTGAATGATAGCTTTGCTGGATAAAGTAATCTTGGTTGTAGGTTCTTGCTATTCATCACTTTGAATATTTCTTGCCACTCCCTTCTGGCCTGCAAAGTTTCTGTTGAGAAATCAGCTGACAGTCGTATGGGTATTCCCTTGTAGGTAACTGAGTTTCTTTCTCTTGCTGCTTTTAAGATTCTCTCTTTGTCTTTTGCTCTTGGCATTTTAATTATGATATGTCTTGGTGTGGTCCTCTTTGGATTCCTTTTGTTTGGGGTTCTCTGCACTTCCTGGACCTGTAAGTCTATTTCTTTCACCAGGTAGGGGAAGTTTTCTGTCATTATTTCTTCAAATAGGTTTTCAATATATTGCTCTCTCTC